AAACATTAAAAAAAAAAAAAAAAGACCATTTCAAGATCTGTCTTGAAGTACAATGCTGTCTGTGATAAGTAATATCCACAGGACTGCAAGGAACACCAGGTCATATGACTATTCTTCAGATTTATGCATGAACCACTAAGAAATTAAAGAATTCTACAAATTTCAATTTAAAACTGCATGTATAATTACTGGTTATTGGAATAAGAAAACTAAAAACAAAGATGAAGCATCAGTAGTTGGAAAATAGACTTTGGTGATAGAAACAATGCTGAAGCACACACACATACAGATCTTTGCAAGATCAGCAGTGTATTCATTGTAAATATCTTTTTTTAAACAACATAAAAGGCAGCTATACACACAGACCTCACAAAATAGTTTACACAGGAATCAAATTAACTACATGTGTTGGAAGAAATGATGGAAAAATCTCCATATCATTGGCCAAAACAAGGCTGGGGCAGACTATGGAACAGACCTTCAATTAATTGCTCATATGCAAGTTCAGGCTGAAGATAAAGAAAATTTAAACAAGTAACATGAGAACTAAAATATGACCTTGAGTATATCACACCTGAATTTTATCTAAAGAACAGATTTGATGCATTACACACTAATGACAAAACCAGAGGAATTATGGGATGGAATCAAGAATATCCTATATTATAAAAGCAAAAGGTCATTAAAAAGACATGAAAGAAAAAAAGACCAAAATGGTTATCAAAAGAGACACTGAAACTTTCTCTTGAAGGTAGAGAGAAGCTAAAGCAAGTGAAAGAATTGATGATATAAAAGAACTAAACAGAAAGGTTCAAAGGGCAGCTCCAGAAGACAAAACCAATATTATAATGAAATGTACAGAGACCAAAAGTTAGAAAAGTGAAAGTATTTCTTAAACTGAAAGAACTGAAGGAAAAATTCAAGCCTCTGTTTGCAATATGGAAGGGTTCTATGGACAAAATATTGAATGACATAAAAAGCAACTAAAGAAAATGGAAGGAATACAGAGAGTTACTCGACGAAAAAGAATCAGTGGATATTCAATAATTTCATGAGTTAATATATAATTAAAGACTGATGATAATGAAGGAAGAAATCCAAGCTGTACTGAAGGTATGGGTAAAAACAAGGCTACAGGAACTGAAGAAATACAAATTGAAATGTTTCAACAGATTGATGCAGCAATGGAGGTCCTCACTAGTCTATGCCAAGAGATTTGGAAGACAATTCTCTGGTCAACTGATTAGAAGAGGTCCATATTTTGCCCATTCCAAAGAAAGGTTACTCAATGGAGTATGGAAATCAATGAACAATACCATTAGTATCACATGTAAGTAAAATTTTACTGAAGGTAATTAAAAAATGATTGTAGCAGTACACCAACAGGAAGCGGCCATAATCCAAGCTGAATTCAGAAGAGGACATGGAATGAGGGATATCACTGTTGGTATCAGATGGATCTTGCTTGGTTGAAAGCAGAAAATACCAGAAAGATGTTCACTGGTGTTTTATCAGCTATGCAGAGACATTTGATTGTGTGGATTAAAACAAACTGTGGATAACATTTCAAAGAATGGGCATTCCAGAACACTTCATTGTACTCATGCAGAACCTGTACATAGACCAAGAGACAATTGTTTGAACAGAACAAGAGTATACTGCATGACTTAAAATCGGGAAAGGTATGCATCATGGTTGTATCCTTTCAACATACTTATTCAATGTGCATGCTGAACAAATAATCTGAGAAACTGGATTATGTGAAGAAGAATGTGGCTTTAGGATTGGAGGACAACTCATTAACAACTCACAATATGCAGACCACCCAACCTTGTCTGCTGGAAACTACAAGGACTTGCAATATCTAGTGATGACGAGCATAGACTGCAGCCTTCAGTATGGATTTAATGTCAATGTAAATAAAACAAAAATCCTCACAGCATTATCTTGACAATATGTCCGAAGTTCATCTCTCATACTTTGGACATACTGTCAGGAGGGACCAGTCACTTGAGAAGGATACCATGTTTGGTAGGGTGGAGGGTCTGAGAAAAAGAGGAAGACCCCCAACAAAATGGATTGTCAAAGTGGTAACATCAGTGGGTTCAAGCATGGCAACTATAATGAGATTGGCCCGGAATCGGGCGGTGTTTCGTTCTGTTGTGCATAGGTCACTATGAGTTGGTACCAACTCGATTGCACCTAACAACAACAACACAAGGACTTGAAATATCTACTGATAAAGAGCAAAGACTACAGCCTTCAGTATGGATTGAACCTCAATGTAAAGAAAACAAAAATCCTCACACCACTCTCTTGATAAGCAGAGAAAAGATTGACCTTTCCAAAGATTTCATTTTGTTTGGATCCACAATCAGCGCTCATGAAAACAGCAGTCAAAAGTTAAATGATGGGTTGCATTAGGCAAATCTGCTGCAAAAGGTATCTAAAGTATAAAAGAAGAAAGAAGTCACTTTAAGGACTATTGTGCACCTACCCCAAGCTTTGGTATTTTCCATGACCTCATATGCGATTGAAAGTTAGACAATGAGTAAGGAAGGTCATAGAAGAGTCAATGCATTTGAATTATGATGTTGGCAAAAAATATTGAAAGTACCATGGAAAGCCAGACGAACAAATCTATCTTCAAGGAAGTGAGTACAGCCAGAATGCTCCTGGTAAGGATGATGAGACTTCATCTCTTGTGTTGTGGACATGTTGTCAGAAAGGACCTATCCCCAGTGAAGGACGTGATGCTTGGTAAAGTGGAGGTCAGTAAAAACAGGGGAAGACACTGAGCAAGATGCAAGGACACACTGGGTTCAAGCACAACAGTTGTGACAATGGTGCAGGACAGGGCAGTGCTTTGTTCTGCTGGACACAGAGTCACTAAGAATGAGAACTGACTGGACAATAGCAATCCCAGGAATCTGTGAATATTGTTTTAGACAAAAAAAAATTAATAAAATCGCAAATGTCCTTATAAGAGGAGACTGAGGAGATTTGACCACAAGGAGAAGGCAGCATGACAGAGGCTGAGAGAGAATAGAAGACAGTATGCTGACCAGTTTCAAAACTGAAGAAAGGGTCCTAAGCCAAGGAATGCAAAATAGTTGAAAAGACTTGGAAACAGATTCTTCCCTAGAACCTGCAGAGGGAGCATGGTTCTGCCAACACCTTGACTTTGGTCCCGTGACATTTGTTTTGGACTACTGGATGTCAGAACTGTAAGAGAATAAATGTCACTTCTTTTTAAGTCACCATCTTCATACTCATTTGTTACAACAACTACGGGAACCTAAAACAACACTCAAAGATGATATAGTCTCTTCCTCTTTCTATCGTCTATTTAACCAGTACTAA